GAGAGGATATAGGTTTATTAAAGTATAATCGAGACAGGCTCTATGAGCGATATGGAAAATGGAAAAATAAGACTCAAGCAGAACGCCAAAATATTTTAAATTTGCAGGGACAAATTTTGGTGCTACAGAATAATCCACCAAATCAAATAAACATGGTAGGAATACCTCATCCATGGTTTGACTGAGGCGATAGTATCCCAGACTTTCTTGCGCAACTTAGACTAGACTTGCAAAATTGGGGTATAGATCTGGCAGGAGCAGGTGCTAATGGAAGAGCTCAGGCAAAAGGATATTTAAGAAGCTGTATGAGAGGAAGGACCCTAAAATGGTTTGATGATGAGATTACTACAAAAACAAATTGGGAACTAACTAACCTAACTAATGGCATAGGACAAGCTAATTTGGTAGCTGTAAATGGACGTACAGCTGTCCAAATAGATGCTGATGGTTTAAATGAGACGCTTGGTCAACCTGGAAATGCAATAGTCAAATTAAGAGCTGTAGAAGATCCTTGGAATGAAGATTGGCGTGTGGCAGGAGGTCGCCTTACTAACCTTCCAGTAAATGCACTAAATGCTGGTAATGGAACTACAGTAATTGTAGTAGACATTCGATTTGGTCAAGCTGTATGGTGGCTAAAAACTTATTTCCCTACAGTAGAAGAGGAGCTTCGGAATATGATGTATAGAACAATCATGAAGGGAGATATGACTATAGATGAATTGTATAGAAAAATAGTACAAATAGGTAGACGAGCTAACTATAAGCCTGAAGAATTACGTAGAAAGTTCTTAGATGCTCTTCCACTCCCATGGCTTGAAAAAGCTGAGGATATTGGTGAACATTTACCATTACCTGAATTATATAAAAAGCTTTATGAGATAGAGTTACGCCGAATAAGTAGATATAAAAGAGATAGAATACCTGACCCCTTAGTATCTAATCGAGTATCTCGGCAAATATATGAACCTTCACCTGTTTCAGCCCCACAACAGCAAGAAATATCTTTAGAAGATATGGAAAAAGCAATTCAAAACGCATTAGCACAACAAAAAACTGAATACCAGTCTTTATTAGAAAAGCAGAAAAACGAATTCTAAGTGCAGATGGCCCAACAAAGCAAGAAAACTCCTCCACTAATTCCACCCAAAAATATGGAGCAAATACGTGATTCATATGAAAATGATAATCCCTTTATTGGGCCTCCAATTCCACATAAACCAGATAAGTATCGTTCAGCAAGAATCGATAGATTAGAAACTATAGTTGGTAAAGTTGCAGACACAGTTGGTACTGTTGCAGATTCTGTAGGTTAATTAAGTGATCGAATGGGAAGGATGTCACTTAATGAACAATCACGAAAACCTTTTTATTGCAGTAATTGTGGACAAGAAGGTCATAAGAAAAATAATTGCCCTAACTTAAATCCTGTAGCTAAATCAAATTTTACACGTTACTATCCTCAACTTCCATCTACGCAGTCCCAATACATGCCTCTAGATTCAGATAATGAGGAAGATGGTTATGATGAGAAAATAATGGATGGACTGGATATGACCCACCGGTAAAAAAAAACAGGTAAATGATAAGTTGGCCGGTAATACTAATGCAATCTTACCCCTAGAATCTAGCCAACCTAAAACGTACGATCAGCTATTGTCTAAGCTCTCACCACTGATACGAAAAATGTGCTTATCTCGAAAGGCTCAGGAGGAGGAATCGAAAAAATCAGATGAGTGGTTGTCATCTTTACAATATCTGAATGCTAATATAAATGACTTAACTATTTCCGAATCTTTTTTAGATCCCGGCAGTGAGTTCGGTAGTATAAATGACCTAGCAATCAAGACGCTTAAATGGAAGGCTGATAAACCATCTAATTTTGCCATAAAGGGCAATTCCAAGCATATCACCAATTCATTAGGATGGTATACAGACGTGCCAGTTACCTTGAAGGATAAAAATGATAAGACGATCACAGTTATTGGAAATTTTGTTCGTATTGATAATAGTGAAACAGAACCAATGCTATTTTTTGGTATGTCAAACATTCAAAAGGTTTAAGGTGTCCCCGAGCTAAATAAAAACCAGTTCCGCATAAAGTTACATGGAAAGGCATATACTATCCCAACCTTTAGCAAGGCTCTAGTAGTTAAAGATCCGCCAAAAGAGGAGCAGGAATCATCATCTCAGGTTTTCACTAATTCTTCTAACCTAAGTAGTAAAGAGGACTTAAAAAAAAGTGTGAAGAGCTTGAAAAGCGCCTCATAAAAACTGAAGAAATGCTCTATTTGGCCTTAAGTACCGGTAAATTTCTTGCTGATACATGTGAATCCTTATATAAGGGAAGTGGTATTAGCTGTTAAATCCTTAAGGATTTTTTACCATGACTTACTGCTGATGGTAGAATTAAAGATAAAATGGCAAGATCAATGATTTATAAAGAGATGAAATTATTTCTCTTTACTAAAATAACACAAGATAACTTACGACAGAAAACTCTTAGGGTTAGAAAATATCTTATGTTATTTGAAAAAAATAGAGTTAAAATAGACAAAATCAAGTTGGTTCATATAGTGCAACTGAGATTTCAAAATTGTCTTACCTACAAATTCAAAATGTTATAGATTAAATAATCTCGAAAACTGTTCCCTCAGGAAACAATCAAAATTATGTAACTTCAAAAACTTATCAAACTAATGCATCTACCAAATCTGAGTTAAGCATCTCAACTGCATCTATTTCATTTCATGACTCTAATTCTTCAGGTGAAATCAGTTTAAATAATTCACCAGTTATTCCAATTGATGCTTATGTTTCCTATATCAATATGACTTTGAAAGAATATTTCTATCTATTCTTATACAATAGTGATAGACATAATGATGCATACGAATTTAAAAATTCAGGCTTATGTTCTAGATGTGAAAAAAAGCATAACAAAAGAAAGGTAGTTAGCCAAGACATAAAGGGTTCTTATTACATTAAATGCCAATCTTCACCTAATAAAAAAATAAAGATAAATACTTCACTAGAAATGATTTCATCAGTCACACCTTAAGTAAGTAGAACTAATCCAACTTATGACCGATCTTATTTTCGCAACAAAATATTAGATCAATATCCAAATTTATATAGAGAATTCAGTAGTGAAAATTTCGATTATTATAGAATTATCAACAAGAAATTATGTCTATTATACAAGTTAAAGCATGATGATGAAAAAAACATAAAAGGTACATATAAAGTTAAATTTTATTTTATTAAATGTGAACAGCGTAAAATTAAGATAACTGTATAATCAGATCACTTTGTGACTATATTTGCTAACTGATACTTTATTGTTTATTATAATATTTTTTTACATGTCAACTATTACCTAATTAGATTGATTTGCAATTATAGAAAAAAGCAACGTGACTAAGTCTGATAAAATATTAACTTCTGAATATCTGGATTGGTATGCTAAATTAACTGGTTTACCAAGTATTTTAACAGATAGGATCCAGTCCAGCTTATACAAAAAATATAAAAAAGAAACTGGGTATGAACTATGGCAATTATCAGAAACGCATGTATCAGAAGCCAGTCTTCTCATAAATTCAAAGCTAGAAAACAAAGTATCCTATTTATCTTTTTCTGAACAATGTAAAGAAAAAGGATTTATCACTTTCAAAGCCAAATCTGATCCAGAATTAATTATCAAATCTGCGTTAGAGCATTTTACATACTTAAAATTTTGGAATAGTTTTAGAGAGATTAATAATTATAATTTTACATCATCTCAGCCATAGAGCTCATTATACCCTATTTGTGATGGAAAACATGGAAATTATGGATTACATGGCTCATGGTACTGCGAAAATGGAAATCAGCTCCCTTATGATCCTGAATTAATAAAGTTGTATTTCTAAGATAAGTTGGAATATTGTCTTATCTGCAATACTTCAAGCAATAAACTCAAGTTTGTGATTGTAGCATAGGCTAATCAATCACTCATCATGAAAACTTGCATCAAATATGTTACATTAGTATCCATAAAAATTCGAATATATTACTCTTCTTGCTATATATCAGTCATTTTGATCTTGCCAAGAAAATATTATCAATACCAAGCTGACCAATATAATTTTCCTATATATTTTAATATAATCGATTCTTATTGGCAAATAATTAATATTATAATAAAAATACAGAAAGTCTTTCTATCAAAAATTAATAAAGTTTAGCATATATATTTAGAGTCAGAATAAGCTTGAAAATTTGTAATTCTAAAAAAAATTAATGTTTAAAATAAAAATTTAAAGCTAAAATCATTAGAGCAATTAAAGAAAAGAATTGTTACTGCATGGACGGTAATATACCACATCAAAAGTGAAGAGCAAGAACGAGGGTTTAGATCAGTAATAATCACTTTTTACCATGTATTTGCAAAGTTACTTATCATTATATAGACAGTAATATACTGTGTCAAGAGTGAAGAATAAGAACAGAGTTTAAGCTAGTAATAATTACTCTTTTACTATGCATTTCCAAAGTTACTTATCACTATATGGATGGTAATATATCGCATCAAGAATGAAGAGCAAGAACAGGAGTTTAAGCCAGTGATAATCACTCTTTTACCATACATATTAAGATAAGGAGAATGGCGTTAAGTCCAAATGCTAATACTCAATTTTTACAGTGCAACCATGAATTATGTAGCCAGAAATTACATAATTTAAAATTATGTTACTGATACAGTTTATTTTACGGTCTGATTATAATAAACTCATCATAAATACTAATAGTTATCGTGCTCCTGTGGACTCTTCCATTTCTCATTATTTTAAGACATTTCCTCTTAAGAATTGGTTTCATAGCTATTTCTTTAAATATACAGGCACTCTAGATTTGAAGCAAGTGACCCATCTCTGGTACGATAATATAACAACCATAAAATTCCTTTTCAGTTCATTGGTCAACGAGAAGCTGTTTTCTGCAATTATCAAGAAGAAATGGCAGATATACTTGATGTTAATGAAAAGAAACGTAAATGCATTGAAGATGAAGTGCATACTAATTTTATAAATCTCATATATACGCATTCAATACTATTAATATTTGAGAAAAAATATTGCTTTGCTGATCGTTTTTGTTTATCCTGTTTAAGTCATAACGTCTTCTGAACTTCTGAAAGATATCTTTGAACACTATAAAAAATATACAAGACAAAATCTAAATATAGGGACTCTATCAAACGTGTTCCTAACAGTTACTATGTTGTAAATAGACCTATTGAAGCTTTAAGCCAAGTATGTATATATATTCATTTAGTTTGTACTGTACACTTTGCAGTTTGTAACGAAATTTATGATTAGGGATTGAAGGCTGACAGTGATAACAAACTAAATATGAAAAACATTGAATTTGATCAGTATATAGATGACGAAAATTTTATTCAAGAGAAACTTTTGTTAAATAATTCGTATATACTTGAAACCAGTATTGATGATACTCCTATAAGTTTTCCTTTTTCTTTTTTATCAATCAATCTTTATTAAAAAATCGTGTTTACTTTTACAGTATATTTTTCAAGAGAAAAATATTTTTTACTATTTACTTCGTATCAGTCTGAAGCCTTACAAATGAGAAAAACATCAGGTTTGTCAATTGTAACAAATTATTCTGAAATTTTGTAAGCACAAACTTCAAAACTCGTCTCCTTATGTAGATTATCAGCCACTAACAAATATTTGTTGAAAATATTAGAAGTTTGTCCAATATTTTACTACTATAATCTGATAAATTTTCAGAATTACAAGTTAATAAATTCTTCAGGAATACTCTAAAAAGTTTGCAGAAAAACATATGTAATATATAAACAATGAAAGTAAAGGTTACGTCAACTGTAAAATCTAAATTTCAGGAATACATTGAGATATTGTATTAATGCAATACTTTCCTGAAAGCTGTTCATCATATTTACTGGATTTACTATATTAGATCGCGATTGACAAATATCTTGATCTAGAAAAAGCAGAAAGGGCTATAAAAGAGTCATTTACAATAACTTTTCTAGTTCCACAGATCAGAATATATTTGATATAACACAATTTATTTTTTTACAGCTGTAAGTTTAAATTATAATATTTATTTTAACTGCTTTACTTTTATAATGCTTCTTATTTTGTTTTAGAACAAAAAACCTTCCTGTTAAGCCTTTAAATGACCTTCTTAGTGAAAGAACTTTGATGGCTAACATTATCAGTCCTGTTTTGCGTTCATTTTTTTATGACTTTATATTTCATTTAACTATATGACCGAATACTGCAAACATAAGCACTAAGGCTTGTAAGCTTGCTAATTTAGATCTATCGCATGCTAAACAACCAGATATGGTTTGCAATATTATAAATAATAATAAATTTATATTTGAAGTGATGTATAGCAAAATTACTAGTGAAGGGAAGAATAATAACATAAGAAAAAATACCTTTGATCTCATAAGGATAGGTATCTTTATGAAAGATACTCTAGACAATATTATTAAGAAAATGGGAAGAGGTTGTGTAGTCTTTGGGTGGCAATCAATTGGTAAGTATCTGCCAAATTACTATATGTTAAATTGCTCGCTAAATTATTTATACAGTATGTGTAATATTTACATAGTATATTAGTAACAGCATGGATAGAATATATAATGATTCTGACTGCTCTGAGAATTTATATCATATTTGAAGTTAGATAAGCTGAGCTTCCTAGGTCCTTTCAAAATTGTAAGCAGTTTATTGATAGTGTTAATAATTTATTCATGTTCACGATATGTTTGGATATAATTTTTTTTTCTGGTTTAATTAATTTTTAAAATTAATAAATAATATTTATTAAAAATTAAAAGAAAAATATAAACATGAAATACAAAAAATTTATAGTTATATCAATCAGGAAAAAGAAGATAGTGTAAAACTTGCTAGTTGGTGCTGATTCACACTTGGAATACCACAGTTTTAGAAACTAATTAATACTTATAAATGAGTAAATGGGTCTTTCTTTTTCTATTCTTGTTTGAATCTTTTTCTGTAATAACCATTTCAAAATTAAAATTAATGTAATTATATATTAATGATTCTGAATTCACATATTTCATAAAATACACAAATACACAATTTCTATTTAACTTATTCAATCATCATGTAATTTACTATTCTTGCAAAATAAAGATTACTGAGATGTTTATTATACAATAAAATTTCACCAGACATGACACATTAGTTGGTATTAGTAGATATTTTTTTCCTATGCAGTAAGATGTCATCTCTATACTTCTCTGTAATAATACATTATTGGTTCATATGAATTAGCATAAGAAGTACAGTAATACATTGGTAAATATTCACGTATATTACATTATTAGCTGTAAATCCTACTTTTATTAGTTGATAATGAGAATAATCTTCACGATTATCATATGATATAGTATGCTAACTTATTTTCTTATCCAGCTTATTAATTCAACCCTTACTATGACACCATAATTATAAATAGGCTATTATGGATTTTTTTTACCTTAATGGCATCTCAGGAATCGATTGCATTATTTCTAATGAGTTTGGATCATAGAATAACTCTCCATCTTTTCTCTAAACCTTTTCAGAAAGCTGAACCTTATTTGGCTTGTAAAAGGAAAATTATAAACTCACATGTGATGTTCCAATGTGATCATACTTTTCACATTAATTATTGCAATGCATCTTCAGTCTGTAAAGAATAATGTCCAGAGTGTTGAAGCAATATTATCGAATAGTTTAAATAACTCAGTTAGAAAAATATGAGTAGGAAAGAAAGATTATCAGCTTTTGTACATGAGGTGTCAACTGAAGTGATAGAAATTGATAGCAATTCATCAGAAGTAATCCCTCAGGATTAACCCTCAACAATTCTACGAAAATTATCTCAAAGAGTCAGCAAGGCCGATTCTAATGTCATCTATTGCTATTACAAATTTGACTTAATACTAACTGTTCGTTTCAATGAATTAATAGAGAAAGGGCAGAAGAGGGTACAACATACATTAAATATGAAGGTTCAGAGATATTTACCAGCTGGTACTTCTCTAGCTGTGGCAAAGGATAAAATTAAAAAAGCTAGAAAAATGGTTAAAATTTTTAGTGATAATCCATCTAAAATTCAATTTGTTTGTTTATTTTCTGTAGACCAACTCTCAACTTTTAATGAAGTCGATATCAATTTCATAAAATCAAAATTACCAAAGCCTAAAATGCTATGAATATATGAAAACCTTAAGTATTTTATTATATCTTTTTTATGTCTTTTTATGTCTTTATATCTTTATGTTATACATACAATGATATGTCATACTTCCCTTAAATAGAAACTCTTAGCATGTGAGTTTTATATTTAATATAAACCATACTAGATAAATTTGTAGATATGTCATTAGTTCTTTCCTTTAGTAATCATTTTTAGTCTGTGTGATCTTTTTTTTTCTCATAATTGATAAGTAGAAATATAATAGATAAATTTGTAATGAATGGAGGGATAACAAATCTTATATGTCAAACTCTCATTATATCTGAACATTTAAGCATTTAGCTTTTTCAGCTTGGCCAGCTAATTTACAATAAAAGTACTTTTCATTTTTTAATAGTTCTATCTAGTATTTTTTAATCAATGAATCTGTCTGCATTCTTGCAAGCTTAAAATCAGAAATATCACGTAAAAATTTTTATCTAACTCCTCCTGCAAATTGATAGATCAAAGGGCAGTAGACTTTAAATTTATTTTCTATTATACAATTATATTTTGTTTTATACTATTCTACTATGCCTATAATGTACACATTTGCAGTTATGAAAAATAATATCATAGCTAGAATAATGATTATTAACATTTATTCTCACACCCATAATACACTTAATAAAAAAATATTATTCCTATTGCTCGTCTGACCCTTTACCATAATTGATGGTAACATTAATTACATTTACATTTTGCAAAAAAGAAGGGTATTTGGGGTTATAGGTCTGGAATTAATAGGTGTTTTTATGGATGGTATCACTAGTCTTGATGCTAAAAGGGAAGTCTCGAATAAATCTACAATATCTGATATTAGCTTAGATCTAGTGTTTGATGAGCGAGATGATAAACTCACCTTACTTCTGGATCTCTGAGCACTTTCACTACATGCTTGTTCAAATGGTGATTCTAGTAAATAAAAAAAATTATGTTAATTTTGAAGAGAACTACCTACTTATTTTTTCCAGAAACATAATTACCTGGTTTTAGTCAGAACATCGTTGAGAACTTTTCATAAATCTCTTCTCCAATTATACTTCTTTTTTCCTCAATCCCTTCTTTTTTTCTCTCTGTAATCTAAAAAAAATAATAATAATAAGTATATTGGTCAGACAGGTCTATGTAAGTAGTATCTATCAGCCAATTTATTTATGTAAAAGGCTTTTGTAAGGCTTAAGGATTTTTTATAACATTCATCGCTAGTGAAATAATTAGTATTTTCCTAAACATTTAATTTTTCAACAATCTCATTCCAAAAGAGATACCTCTTCTTATTTGTAGTAGCATAATACTCCACATTTCTTTACTTTTATTCGTCAATAAGAACATGAAGTTAAGCATCAGAGAACTTCATAGTTGACTACATAGTGAGAAGATTCTCTAGGAACTATTATATAAAAATATCGAATAATGTATTATCATTACAAGACAAATTAATTGATCAATATAATGATTAATCAAATAATAATGGTGGTTTAGCTATCATGTCAATAGATTAAGGGTAGTGAAATTTGATTGGCCAATCATTTCATGATTTTAAAAACTCGCCAACTTCTAAAACTTTCCTAGAACTTTTGAGGAATTGGCAGGAGATTAGAGTAATACAAATTTTAGTCGAAAGTACTGTGCATAATTAAGCTGTCTATAGAAATCAGATCTAATTTAATTGAATCATTATATATCCTGAATATAGGGATAATCGAATAAAAATGAATCTAATATTTTATTATAATATACTTGCTATAAATTATTAAAATTGCTATAAATCAGTGAATTTGCTAAAAATACTATAAATCACTAAAAATCATTAAAATTTACTAAAACAGTATTATGGATTTAGATAGTAGAATCCAATATAAGCTAGTTTCTGTAGGCTATAGTAATGTAAACTTCAAAGAATATAGAAGAATATTAGAAGTATTATGTCATTTAGTTGAATGATATGATTATGAAATATCAGAAATGTGATGCTCTCGTATCTGTGATCTATTTAGGAAAATACTTGAAGAGAATCTAAGAATTGTTTTTAAGAATGAATATATTATAATATGTGAAAAGCTTTATAAAAATGATAAAGTCTATGCTTATCAAACAAATTATATATATTGTAGTGTATATGACTTCTTAGTTTTCATACCTGGATATAATTATAGCATCCATCTCTATCATGATAATCACTTGAAAAGATGTATTTCTAGAAATACTATTTCAAATAAACATGCAAAAAGAGAAGAAATTCTCAATTCTATTAATAAAAGGGAATTTTAGATCTGGCAATATAAACAATATATATTACAAGAAGAAGCTAAAATTAATCATCTTCATCTAAAGCTTTTCTCCTAATCTACTTCACACTCAGAAAAGGATAAGTTAGCATCAGTATCATATGATCTCAGAGAAATATTTTAATTATAATAATTTATCTCAACTATATTCATAAATTATTTTTTTTGCGATTACATAATCTACATATAATGAAATTAGCTGAAGGTGTTATGCATGAAATGTATCACTTGCAAATGTTATGTATGATCTGCTTATTTTAGGTTAAATCTTCTAATCTATTTTAATAAAGTATTTTTTTTGAGTTCAGGAAAATTAATGAAGCGATTTTGAGAATTCTTGATTGTGAGATAATATAACTATCAGTTTAAGAATTTCTATGTAACAGTTATCTAGCAAGCTTATAGGAATTACAAGAAAAATTCTGAATCTTAGGTAAAATGAGTTTGGGAGATGGTAAGAAATGATGATACTCCTGATGATATGAAGTTTTTAGATATAAAAAATAAAGAATATAATCCTTTAGAACAAATTTGGTATGAGGAATATTACTTTTCAGTGAAAAATAGTTGGATATATGAGAAAAGAGTCCAATTATGATAACAATTATCTTTTGCAACATTCATACTTGTTAAGAAATTATTATATCAGCAAGGCTATATAGTTGTTAGATATACATATTGGCTTGATATGTTAAAATGGCTACAAAATCCTGAATATTATAGTATTCATAAAAAGTATAATTTTGTATACTTCATCAGAATTTCAGAATATGAGGCATATAAGATTAAAT